TACATATGTGGCCACAGTTTTTGTCATATAGGAGGTGACAGGCAATCAATAGTTCCCAAATTCCTTTTGCAGAAATTGAGAACCATATTCTGAAACAAGAAGATGTTCTAAACGACAAAGAGAATGAGATCAAAGAGCTGCAGCTGATGATCAACAGACAGAAGCAAACCTTGAAGTCAGTATTTTAGGCAGAGATCTCTTCCTTTATCTGCCATTTGTTATTGTCTATAGTGGGAATGAGACGGATGCCCTGCTATAAAACACATTCTATTAGACACACTAAAAAGACAAAAATTCCACAATGTGACGTAAACAGCTTAATTGAGTTTTTCTCTTTTTAATGTTACATCTGGAAGCCTTGGCTGCAACATTGTCCTCCATCTGACTATTCATTTGATCTCAGGCTGTAATGCCAAAGAAGACAAAGAGCATTATACTCCCTGAGAAACTAATACCACTTTTTGTGAATGACTGTCTAGACAGATATTCTTAATATTACTCCCAAAGGCAGGTTTTCTGCCTAAAGGTTGTCTAGGTTTTTCCAGTAGACTGTTTCTTACTCTAAGGTGTGAGACACCCCCCCTCTGGTTTTAATGTTATCCTCCATTGCTTGTTCAGTGGTAATACCATTTAGGATATCACATGCTTAAAATAAATTTCTCATTAATTGCAATTTAGCATTACATTTGAACTTTAAACTGAAGTAAACTTTAATTGTGGTTTGTTGAAACAAACCAGTTTTATAATCCATGATTTGAAGTTGGATTGTTTGACCACAATTGGTCAGGGACAGAATGACCCTCACCAATTGAATGACAAGTTGTGGTTGGTTAAATATGGAAGCATAGCCTTCTGATCTCTCAGATGGCAGAGAGGAGCACATAAATCCAGGATTTGCTGCAACTTGTTCCCATGACAATAAACCATGATTTATTGTGATGTGCAAACCAACACTGTTGGTGTATAGAATGATGGTATTTCCTTATACAACGCTCACCTCTTGGTAGAAATGTAATAAATCATTGTTTTTTTAGTTATTGTATGTGTATATTTGAACAGTTATTCAGGAGCCTTTATGCACATAGTTTTCTATTTGTTTTCTTGCTGTTTCAAATGGGGTAGAATTCAATAAGGATTAGTCTAAACAGATGCTTATTTCTACTCAGATTATGCAGTAAATGTTCTTCTAATCTGTCACTGAATGTTTTTAATGTTATATTTGGTTTTTGCAGAAAACAAGCATCTGATTTCAAGATACAGAAACAACAGGAATGCTATATAGCAGAAATGGTTAGAAAAAAGAACAAGAAAGATTTTTAAATGACCATAGAAGTATTGTATCAAGCTGATTGATTCTGATCTTTCTTCGGCCACTATAAAAGTCATGGATGAATTAATTTTCCTACTAAGTAATTATTGTGAATGCAAATGAAAATGATCAGCTGAAACTCACCTCTAAATTTCTTTTGATATCTTATTCTGTCCAGAAAAATCAGTATTGGGTGTACTTATTAAATACATTTAATAAATAAATAAATACGTTAGTAGCTGTTTAGATGGATAAAGATTATAGGATTGGTTAATTTTAGTTATAAGACACAAGCTGTTTTGCCTTGAGAGCAGATATGTGAAAGTCAATCAACTTCCTAATGCTTTTTGAACTGGCTGTGCAATTTATTAAATCACTACTATATAATTTAATAATTCAATCTCTGCGTCTTTCTGGGAACTGTTGTAGAAGTCATTCCTGAAGCAGCATGGACTATGGAACAGACACTGCAATCCCCCATATTTCTACTCAGAAGTGCATCTTACTGCTGTCGAAAGAGCTTATTGCCAGGTAGACAGAAGGCTCTGGTTACCCTAATGAAATAAATAAGGTGATTGATCAGGTTTTTTTAATTTGGTTTAAAGTCACTGTGACCAGCCTCTACCCAAGCTGGTCACTTTTTAAAGTAAACATTCTTTAAATTAAGGCTTGACTCCAGCCATTAATCATACTAGACCAAGTGGTTAGAGAATGAAAAATGATATTCTGTTTGTGACAAAGTACCCTGTCTCCCTGAAAATAAGCCCTAGTATGATTTTTGAGGATGCTCGTTATATAAGCCTGTGGCATTTGCCCTCGTGGCCCCTGCTTGTCTCCCTAAACACAGAGCTCACAAGGTACAGTACCTCAGCATGCCCTCTGATACGCTGCCACCAGTTG